AAAAAAAAAAAAAAAAGAAAAAAACAAACAAACAAAAAAACCAGTAAGTCTTAAGAAAATGAAAAATTATACAAGCCATCATTTCCAGATTAAAAAACCCTGCTTTATTTTGAGCTTCCCAGAAGCCAAGTTAGACAAAAACCCAAGGAATCTTTGGTGGTGACATAGAATATCTTTGTAAAAATTCACAATTTAAAAAATATTTTGGTATCATTCATCCCTCCTTCTTCCTTCTTCTTCTGTATCGGCTCCTCCATCTCTCACTCTGAACTCACTCTCTGGTTTATCCATTTCTCTCTTCATATCACCTGTATCCTGCTAGTCCTCTTCCAAGCCCTCTGTCCCCTTATTTTAATAAATGTCTTCAGTAAATACAAGAGCTTGGTGTGTCTGTATCTGTGATTCTCCTCAGTAATGAGCATCCTTGCTTTTGGGTATAATGTTCTAAGGCAGAGATCCATTTTGAGGAACATGTTTGGATCCATGACATTTAATAACACAATTGGCTTGAAACAAAGTGCAAATTCAAAGTGTTTTTTCTAGGACAAAATCCACTTCATTGGTTTATTCCTTCTTCCTCTCCTACTCCATAATATCTTTATGTACTTATGGATATAGCATGGATTTCAATACATGTATCCAATATGTGATTATTAGATCATAGTTACTAGTAAATATACATATACATGTACATACCTACATACCTACATACATACATACATATATTCATGATTTTGTATGCTAGGTACATTCAACTTGTTCTCCAGTAGTGATCCTAAAATATTCATTAATCATTCATTCATTGATCATTCTCACTCAGTTTTCTTACTGTTCTATGGAAGATTCAAAGTTTGTCCTGCTAGCCACCCAAACCCATGAACTGAATGAATAGAGACCATTTTGACAAATATTTTGTAGGTTAATCATTACTTTCCTTCATCCCTTCCTTTCTTGTTTTTTCCCCTCCATTCTTTCCTTCTCCATCCCTCAAGATAACTAAATGTGTTTCATTTAGAAAGGGAACAAAGCAATGGAATTATCATGGGATATTTGGCATGAGGATATTAATCTCCTTTTCTCTTCTAATGTAGACAAATGCATCATTACATTTTTCTCTTCTTCTGATTGGCATATTGTATCTTAGAGACCATCTGATCCTGATCATAAGAAAAAAATCTGAATTAGTTTTACATCTTGTGACATAATGGTGCAAAAGACAGACTTTGTGCCCTATTACAATGTCTAACATACATAATAGGAAATAACATTAAAAATGGCATATATTCTGCCTACCAACAAGAATGATGAAGTAAAATAATTTTTATGAAAATTAGTAATTTTTGTCTGTATAGATGTAAAAACATAGAATATCAAAAATTTGTATATTTTCTTAACTCAGAAGAATCAGGCAGGAATAAATTATCAATGTTGATCTTATATGTTGACCATGTTGACTTTGTGCATGTTTAACTCCAGACCTGTATATACCTTCTTTTAAGTGGACATACAATATTGATTACTTTTAAAGTTTGTTACTATTTATTGGTGAAAAATACAAGAGAAATGTGCCTTCAATATTATTTCACCTTTCAGAATTTTCATGTCACCCACAAACCCACAGAATACCAACCATGTACAGACTGTCATGAAATTGGCCCCCTTTGGCTTTGAGATTACTAAGGCCTGCACTTCATTTGCTGTGCATCTGTTTTATGTATCACAGACAAGGTAAATTAATGCCAGCAGCTTCCATAGAGAATCAATCAAGCATGCTAGAGGTATACTTGGAGCATTTGTTTCCCCATTTCTCCTAGAGCTACTGATAGAGATATGTAGATGAATAGTAGTTATACAATCATCATGCAATTCTTCATTCTCTTTGGTGTATCCACTAATCCTTAAGCATGGTTGGTGTGATAGTTTTAATTAGCAGGTTGACAAAATCTAGACTCACCTGATAAGGGAATCTCAGTGAAGTTTTGTATAGTTTAGCTTGGCTGTAGTTGGAAGTTTCTCTGGTTCTACCAGCCCCATGATCCTGTAGCCCGCTTATAAAATAATCACTCAGAAGTTTATCTTAATTAAAACTGCTTGGCCATTAGCAGCATATAGAATGATATCCCACAGTGCTTGGCCTACGGGCATTTCATGGGGAATTATCTTGATTAATAGGCAAACTCACTCACTTTGTATGACACCATTCCATGGGCAGGTGATACTGAATTTTGTAGAAGTGGAGTGGGCAACTGAAGACCAGCATGCTTGAGTTAATCTCTTGCTCTCTGCTGTTGAGTGTGGATGTGATGTGACTAGGCACTTCAAGTTCCTGCCACCTTGTCTCTCTGCAATGATGGACCATAACCTGGACTGTGAGCCAAGCAAGCCCCTTCTCCCTTAAGTTGCTTTTGGCAGGATATTTTATCACAGCATCAGGAAATGACAGTAGGACAGGTGAACATTCCTGGAGTAAATTCTGCTTATTCTTTGTGGATGCCTTTACCTTCCTTTAACATACGGCAAAATCTTAGAGATCTGTTAAAATCTTGGTTAACTAAAATCATCTTTCTTATAAAGTCTCTCCAAAACTCCCTCTTCCTGAGGTAGACTTGGGTCTCATTTTTGTAGCCATTTTAGAAACATGATATAAACATTGCCACTTTCATTGTGATTATTCATATGTGTTTCTCAGACGGTTTGCTGTCGTGCATAATAGTGTGCGTTGTTCCTTCCTCTTTGTAGTTCCTACTACTCTGCCCATAATTGATGCCCCATAAGCTCTGATTGAGTGTGAATCCTTACAATGCAAATCACATAGAATTTTCGAACACACATGTGTTGGCACCACATCTTTTCCTCAGGCTCTGACACTGATTGGGCTAATCCAATTGTCTGCCAGGCACAACCTGAAGTGCATATTCCTTAACTTCTGTGAACGACTTTTTTTTTAATGTAAACACAAAGAAAATTTTAATCCAAGATCATGAAGATTATATAATATAGATATTAATAATTTTCAGTTTTGTAGTTTGTGTTTATCTACTTCAAGATAATATGTACATGCTATGTGGGACTTGGGTCAAAGTTTAAATACTTGTTAATGAATGTATTCTGATTTAGAGTAGCCTGTCTCTAATAAATTTTCAGTATTGCAACTAAGCAGTGGTTCTCAATCTTCCTAATGCTGTGCGCCTTTAGCACAGTTCGTCATAATATGGTGACCCCCAGCCATAAAATCATTTTTGTTGCTCTTTCATAACTGTAATTGTGCTACTGTTATGAATTGTAATGTAAATATTTTTGGAGACAGAGGTTTGCCAGAGGGTTATGACTCACAGCTCGAGAATCACTGCAATGGAGTAAAACAACCTCCGGTCAGTAGAAGTGTCCTTTGAGTTTTGAGTTTATCCTGTTCTAGAAATGGCAAAATTCTCACTCTCTCTTTTTTTCTTTCCAAATCTTGGTCTACTTACTTCCCCCCCCCCCGCCATTTTTCTTTATTAAGAAATTTTCTACTCACTTCACATACTATCCACAGATTCCCCCCTCCTCCCTTCTCCCACCCCCTAGTCCCCTTTCCAAAGCCATCCGCATTCCCATATCCCCCAAATCCAGGTCTCCCATGGGGAGTCAGCAGATACCAGCACACTGAGCCTAGGTAGG